GCGGGGGATGCTGAGAGCAGGAGGGGGCCGGGCTGTGGGGGCCGGGATTCACCCCCAGGTAGGGGGAGCTGAGAGCTGGAGGGGGCCGGGCTCACCCCGGGTAGGGGGAGCTGAGAGCTGGAGGGGGGCCGGGACACCCTAGAGCGGGCGATGCTGCGCGGGTTCTTGTTCACTCTTTTCTTACCTGTCTCCCCGAAGCCGTCATCGTCCCCCTCCTCGCCCCGCCCGACGTTTCCCGCAGGCACGTGCGGCTCCCCGTTCGGCCCCGACATGCCGCCGCCGCCGCGCCCCGCCCGAGTCCCGCTGCCAGACAGGACCCAGGTCGCGGCCGGACCCCGAGACGCCGGAAAGCCCCGCCCCTTCCCCGGATGGAAGCGGCGGAAGGTCCCGCCCCCTGACCCGGAAAGGGGCGGGGCTTGGGTTGACCTACCCATTCGCAAACTTCAGCCGGGATCCTGGGGGGTGGAGCATCTCCTTCCTAGCCCCGCCCTGCTCCAGGGTAAAGTCTATAGTTATGGGAAGAGAGGGGCTGCCCAAGCAGCGCGGGCGGGCGAGAGGCAGGCGAGCAAATAGGCTTTATAGTTGCGGGGGGTCTGCCTACAGGGATGCGGGATCGCACCCCCAACCTCCCTGGGCTCTTATGTTCCTCCCTCTTTGTGTTCGCTCTCTGCAGTCATCGCAGAGGGGGTTGCTGGCAGGATTTTACATGGGTGCAAAACATATTCAGCGAACTGAGGAGAGTATCTGCAGAAACCAAGTGTGACCTTGGGAGTATGAAGGTTCACAGCCAAGCTGGCTCTAAGAGCCACAATCATCCAGTCAGAGTTTAGGCCTGTGTGTCCCCGTCAAAACCAAGCACTACAGCTTGATTTTGGCTGACAGCTGCTCGAGAAAAAACTGCTGATCAGAAGTTATTCACAGAAATGATCCAGCAAATAAATTCCAATCAATAAAGTGAACTAATCTATCAGCTACTCACAGACCAATTTGGGAACAGAAAATGTGTTGAATAAATTATTCACATAGATTTGCTTTGCTATCCCCTTCTACAGTGGTTTTCTCTTAAACCTTTTTCTATCCATACTAATTATCTCAGTTTATTACATGTATATTTATTCTTTGTAGACTGTTCTCAGGACATATGTTTATGGGATGTTCTCAGGAGATATGTTCACCTGTATAGAGCCTTTATTTCTGGAGCTCTTAAAGCACTTTGTAAACATGCATTATTAGCTCCTGTGAGGTAATTTTACAGATGGTCAGGCAGGATGATGGCTGGTTAAGTAAATTGCCCAGAATGACACATTGAGTCAGTGACACAGACAGGACTAAACCCCAGAATTCTTGACACCCAGACTTCTGCTTTTGCCACTAGAGCACAGTGCCTTCCTGTCTTTGTCTATCCAGTTTTAGTTAATGGTTTGTTTAATTTAGCTTCATTGTACTTAACAGAATAAAGTTTGTTTCAACTGTTTTTGATTTTTCCACTTAATAATTGTAACCACAGTTAGTAGGTCACATTCAAATCTCCTCTTTCCTTAGGACAGTGAGCACAGTTCTCTCTGCCTTTCTTTATAACTAAGATTTCTTTTTTTAGACTTGATATTAGTCATATGCTTCACCTGTCCTGGGAAATCAGATCATTCCATCATTTATTTTATAGGATATATCTTTAGAGATGAAAATAACTTGCAATTAGGGCATCACTGTGTCCCTGAGCTGAACCTGGGCAAAGACTGATTTGAGGAGTTTTTGAATTCTAATTGAGATGGAATTTTCAATGTACAAGGAATGAAGGATCATATCCTTAACATCACAGTACATTCTGTATCTTTCCTTAGTATAACCTGACTACATTCTGCTGGGTTAGGGCCCCATCCTATGTCCTAACACAGTTATGCTCATAAAAATAATAGTATGGGCATAACCAAGCATAAGTGACAAAAGTTAATTGCCCTGAAGCATGAGGTTTTATGTCTTCCTATTGCTTTGTGGAATACAATTTCATAATTAAGTAGGGTTATGTAATTAATGTCAGTAAAGCTCTTTGAGATTCTTGCATAAGAGGCGCTATAGAAGTGGAAACTATTGCTATTATTTTTATTCCTATTTTATGTTTTAACATCTTTATGAAGTGCTGAGGTTTAATTATCCATCATGGCAAAAGCCAGATAACTATCAATCTGGCTTTGCTATTATGACACCTGCTAGATACTCTGAATATTTTGTCCTTGCCTTTCACCCTGTGATTCTAAAGCAACTTACAAAGATGGAATTTTAATTGTAATTATTTATTGATTTGGAATTTTAGCATAAAATCATGGACTATTTGAGATTTTACTTAATCATCTCGCTCTGTTCCCAAGTATTGCATTCAATATTCACACTACACATTGTGAACAAAATTAATCCTTAGTGTAATTTGCATGAGGGATGGAATTGGGCCCACTATGTATTGTAGTTGAGAGGAATGAGCTCTAATATCTGGAAAAATAACTGGCCAGACTGGACTCTTTGAATGAGCTGATTAGTGGTTTGGAGTTTTTGCTAATGATTCAGCAAATACTGTGATTTAAATAATATTTAAAATTATCTAATCCAGGGGCTCCCAAACTGTTGGCTGAAGAACACTTGCTGATGATTTTCAAACATCTGATTGGTCACATGGTGCTAGCTCTCCTTGTTTCCAACTGCTGCTACAGATGTCCACACTCTTCACTACAATTAAAAGCCACCTGTAAATGAAACTGGAAACAAGGAAGAAACATTAGCCTAGCCACTTCTGCTGGGAGCAACTATTACATAAATAGAGAATGAGAGGAAATGAGCACTACCTCTCAGGGACTGGAGACATCAGTGGGATTAGAGTTGCAATCCATATGACAGCTAGGTAATATTTTCAGGAGAGCTAGGTGAAGAAAAGAAGTTGGTGGCTGGGCAGCATAGTCAGGGAGCAGGGAACCAACTGCTAGGGAACCCCATGCAGAGGGAAAGAAAAGGGTCTAGACAGCAGAGGAGAATGTGTCAGTGAGAGAGATTAATAAAAAACATGGGAGGAGCCGATAAAATTAAGAGTAAAAGCAGGTGGTGGGTTTGATTCTTTGTTTTCAAAAGGAAAAAAACAATTGCATCAGACAGTTAAACATCCACTGATACTTTCCAGATATGACTTTTCCATAAGCAATTGCCCTAGTCCCTGCAGAGATTGTACATGATAATAAATGGGAGAGGAGGTCGTCCACACTATGAGCAATAGGAAAGGAGGTGTTCATGAGACTCTCTCTGTGTTAAAATATATTCCACACTATGAAAATGTTTGAGAGCCCCTGATCCAACCTAGCAGGATTTTATAGCACTTTGTCATCCTCGCATGGGTTATTACATTGAATGTTACATTCTCTGCTACAGTGTGATTATTTTTTCAGCTTATGTGTGCCATTTATAACCATTTCCAATCAGGGTAGTTCTAGGGTCCCATTATTGGAGAGGCAAATGGGTATTTTGGGGCCCCTGAATATCGCTATTTACAAAACAACCTTCCAGGAGTAATTAGACCCTTAGAAATACTTGGACCCTTGAAAATAAGTTGTGGCTACTGAGTCAGTATTTTTCTATGATTCTATAAGTTATCTAACAAATGAAATCTCTCCAATCTGCTCCTTGCTTAACATTGTACAGTATAACTTTGTACATAGTTTGGCTTTTCTGACAATGATGGTGGGGGCTAGGGAATCATTTGGGGAGGCAAATGTTCTCTCCCCGGGGGGGGGCGCCCGCCTTGCTTCCCAGCCCTCCCCGCTTTTGTATGTGGACGCTGGCCCTTATCTGCATCTGGGAAGAAATGATGGCACAGCAAACAAACCAACCAACCAATCAAAAAACAAGCCCAGCGGGGGCGCTCTATCCTTAGGGCCTCCCCTGCTCTGGTTTAAAGCCTCTGGTGCTTGGTGTAGAGGCCCGCCCTCCTTGTTTTTCCCCTCCCCCGTGGAGCGAAAATGGCAGCAGCGTGCAGTGGCTGGAGGTGCCTGGGGCAGCTCCCGTGGAGACTGAGGGCTGCTGGCCAGGCGGCTGGGATGGGGCTCCTGCGGGCCCAGAGCAGGGGGTACTGTGTCCCCTTTGGGACAGGACGCTATGCACGGGCCCGGGCACTGAAGGGCAGCCGCATGCTGGTGGGGGCTGCTTTTGCCCTGGGGGGCACCTTTGGCCTCTTCCAGACTCTCCAGTATCCCCTGCAGGCCCAGGAGCACCTTGCAGAGCAGCAGGCAGCCGAGGTAACCTCCCGCCTCCCCCCCCTTTTAGGAATACTGCTGGCAATCCAGGAGCCCCTTGCAATCCCTAAGGACACCGGGCCCCATGGTGTTTTCCCATCCCCCGCTTACAAATGATTCTGAAACGATACTCCTTCCCGTGCAATCTGGTTTTTATACTGCTTCCCAAATATCTTCCATTTTTGGGGTGCACACAGATCGTGGCTCCCATCCTTAATGAAATCTTAAGGGGGTGGCATGGCAGGAAGAACCTTTGAAAATGGTTTCTTCCTTACCCGGTCACAGATTTCTTCTCCTATATGACATTTCTATTTTTGTTCATTTTCAGATAGTATTTTCCCCTCTAATGTCCTGCAGCTGATTCTCCAGATTAAAAGGCTATAATGGTCTCAAATGATCTGTGGCTGCTTTTTCTATTTACTGTCTTTGCAAATCCTTTTGTAGCTTTCCCTGGATAGACTAATTGCTACTTTAAAAACAATCAGCTAATGTTTTCCATGCCTATGGATGAATGACATGCTAAGTGATATAGAATATACAAGTGATGCCATCAGGTTACAATATCCTAAACAAATAATGTCTACTAATTTTACTAATAACTCTTGTGTAACTAAACACTTACAGACCCTGATCCTTCAAGACATACACACATACCTAACTTTAGTCAGTAGAAAGAAAATAGTCTTGTTAGTTTCAATTTTGTTTTTAGTCTGGTCACTTTCTGGTTCTCCTACACTAGCATAATGTTGCAGTATTTGGGGGTGGCAAACCCTTCAAGAAAAAGTTTAAATACACATAGCAGACTTTTTCTATTGATCGAAACACACACATCCTTAATATTAGATGTTGTTAGGAAACAACATTTTAAAGTATTAAAATCTAGCCCTAAACTACCCAACATTATCCTCTTTGAGCAACTATAAAAATTGCTTTTAATGAATAAAAAGAAAAGTAGTTGTCAAGTGACAGGGAAAACAACAATTCTGTATGCTTACATAGGGCTTTCCGTCAACTAATGACTTCCCACAAATACCCTGAGGTATTATGGAAGTGAGAAACAAGGTAAAATGGTGGCATGT